GTGATTCATAAAATTATCTTCTGATGTAAAAGAGAAAATGCTACAAATGATTTTGAAAGGCATCTTCTAGGATCCAATTTAAAGATTAGCACAGCGGAATTATGAAGATGATGATGGTGATGACTGTAAATAACATTAAAAATATTTTTATATACAGGTGACAAGCATTGTACTAACTGAATACAAAATATTATTTTTTAACAACCCTATGAGATGATTCCCATTTTATTGAGAGAAAAATGAGTTTGGGAACAGCAATGGTTATAAAAATAAAGGTAATGATTCTTAAATCTTGAACTAAAAGCATTAAGAATTGGCTGCAATTGGAAACTTGCACTAGAAAGAAGAGATGATTTCAGGCAGACCAACATGGGCTGGATACTTGTGGGGCACATGAGGGAAGACCAGGGACCACAACTATGCAAGCAAAAAACATGGGAAAAGGTCCTAAAAGAGTCTGGGCAGGAAAAGGACCAGGTCAGGTGTTTCCCTAAGTTAGGCCCGCCAGGGTAAGTCCTGAGGTCCCTTACTGAGAAAGGATCCAAAACCCTGCCAAGATCACTTACTCTTTGGTTAGGTGTGGGTATGAATTGTAACTGACTCTATGTGTTCATTTATGTTCCAGCTAACTGTTGAGTAGATTAGTTAGATGTCATCTCACGGTGTGGATTTTGCCTTTCTTTCCTAATTTCTTTTGCTCCTTTTTAGACTCCAGCTAAGAAAACACCCTTGATACTGTGGGGAACCAAAGCCTGCTGATCCCCACATAGTCACTTAGTCTTCTGCTCCCCCACTGGGATGTGGCTTAATCATATCCATTTGTAAAAGAGGACCTGGTGGCTCAGAGGTACATAGTAATTTTCACAGCTAGGTAATTCACAGGTGAGGATTCAGATCCTGACCTCATTCTCTCTGGCTTCTTCCCTTACAATGGGGAGTCAGGAAAACATCTGTACTTATATACAAGCCATCCACTGGGCTTATTCTTGTCTTCAGCATGCCTCCCACTGCCCTGCCTTCCTGTAGCTGCCCCTGGGCTCTACACCAGGTACACCATCTCCTTATACCATCTCTCAACTCATGTAGGGTTACCAAGAAAAGCAAGAATATGGCTGGGATTTCTTACCTACATTTTTATGTTCAAAATCAATTCTTTGAGAGCAAAATCAAAATACAATAATAGTAATAATAATAATTGTTCATAGTTAAATTTAGCAGGCAATCAAATAATGCTTCTATAGCATCTACTATGTGTTAGGTACTGTTTTAAGTGTGGTTTATTAATTCACTTTGCACTATATGTTCATAAAACAGTGTGTGTGTGTGTGTGACACACACACATGCATGTGAGCACATGAAAGAATTTCAGTTTTCTCCTCTTTCAGTCTTTGAATTTCTCAAAATGAATTTTAGCAGGGCCTGCCCTAAGTAGAATTTGATTCTAACTTGTGGCTCCAAAAATGGTCCCACTCTAATGCCTTACTTGGCAAAAGAAAAGGCCAGACAGGACTCAAGGGTCTAAGCACATCCTGCATTCCCCCAGGCCTGATCTCCCTGAAAGTGCTTCCCACAGCCTGTGGTTCTTTCTCTGCTTCCTTTTGCTTCCTCCTCTGCCACCACAAAGTCTTTCTTTTTCATCTTGAAGAGCCACATGCTAATTACCAAGCACACCGGCAGGGCCACTCTCCCCCCGCTTTTAGGACTAAAGCTCCTGGCTTATGGTACCCTTGTAGCTTTCCCTGCACCCTGGAAGGGTGGTGCCACAGAGCCACGAGAGACACATGTGGGCAGTCAAAGGGGAGAAATTGGCCCCCAGGTCCAAAGACACACAAAACCAAGCTCTGTGCGGTAATTCCCCTCATAAATCTTGGCTTTAACTATAAATTATTTGGACTATCCAGTTTCACTTCCTTCCCCTCTCCCATCAGATTCAGAGGATTTCAGACTTAAGAGAAACAGTGAATCTGAACTAAGCATCAACAACTTGATCATCTTTAAAAGTCTCTCGTTTCACAGGGGAAGCCCAAGAATGGGAAGATGTGGGGTAGGAGGTCCTCAAGGTAGGGATTAGAAGGTATCTATGGATAAAAAGGAGTCTGCAGAGCCAAAATTGCTTTGGACTTTATAATATTGAAGATGGTCCCAACCAAATGAAACACAAAAGGCTAGCCCACCTCACTGGGCTATGATGTTATTGCCCTTAATAACTGTCCTGCGTGGTACGCCTCCAGAAGTTCGAAACAGGAAATAAACAAGGTTTCAGGGGCTACAGCAAGACAATAATGACAGCATTAGAGTGCAGATACAGACACTTTCTGTGAGTAGGTCTCTGTACCTCCCTTGGCCTTGGCAATGTGTCCAGGGCACTATTTGATCCCTAGGCTTTCATTCCACCCACTTCAAGTACCTGCTTGCAGGCTTCTCTTGGCCCAGCACACAAACAAACTTTAAATGACAAGTAAGACACTGGCAATGTTTTCCAAGGCAGTCCTGAGGCGGGGATTTCCCAGAGTTTGTTATGAGAGGCAATTTGCCTCCCAACCAAGTCGGAAAGAGCCAGGAACCAGGTGGAAAGCCATGAGTCAGGCCTAGAGAATTTCAGTTTCAACACCCACTCAGCAAGAGGCTGTTTAATTATACCTGTTACCTTCAACGTAAAGGTCACCCACCCTGTAGTAAATGATTAATTGCTGGCTGCTTCATCTACTCTTCTGATTCTAATCCCTTTACATTTCTGGTTAATTTTTGTAGGAAAACCATGATGTGCTTCGTTTTCTTTTATGAAACAGTAACCACAGTCAATGATCAATTGGTGAGCTGGCTCCATTTGAGAGATCTTTTGCAAACAACTGTGTAGGATTGAAGGGTGGGGTTGGGCATCATGGTACCCAATTTGTAGTTCAAATTCTGCTGTAAGTGGCTCACCCAAGTCAAACATTCACTGAATGTTTGGAAATCAGTTGACTAATCATTGTAGTCTAAGCAGGGAAGGAAGAAAAGATGCAAGATTCTACAGAGAACATTCATTGATGTCACGCTATGACTGCATTCAGGGTCTTCCAGCCCTCAGACTGACTGACCCAAGATCAGAAGGTTTTTTCTTAGGACCTGTTTTAGGACACCTGAGTCAAGAGTAAGGCTTAGCCCTGTCATGCTTGCTGGCTTTCCTCTTGATGGTGATGGCCAAAGGGAAAGAAGAGAGTTGCCTAATTTCACCTATTACACACACCACAATTTAGCCCCTTCATTTCTCTCAAGAATATGATTATTAAGAGCCCAATTTATTGGAGATTACTTTTAGGAGAGATGAGGGAAATGGGGGATAAGTAGATGGAGGGAGTTTCAAACACATTCTGATAATTTCTTCACCCTTTCTCCTACCCAGGACTCATTTAATGTCTATTGGAAGCTCCTTAATAATCAGAAATACATCATTTGTACCTGTATCCAGAAGATGACTCAGTTAGCTTACCAAATGTGGAAGGATTTTAAAAAATTAAATATCCATTAAGATTAAAAATAGAAGTAGAAATAAATTTAAAAACTTTAAATGCTGAGAAACGCTACAAACATTGCAATCCTCCCTCTCTCCCCACCCTGTCAATAGCAAATTGTTTCTAGTAACTAATTGCCTGACATACCTCTATACCTTTTTGGTTATATACTCTTTGATCACCTCTTCATATGACAATAACTTTATAGAAAGAAACAATAGAAGGATAATGAAGTCTTTTCACTAACATGGTTAATCAAAATCAATTTTTTAATATTTTAAAGTAAATAGTTGGGATACTCAACAATCGACTCAGCCAGGACATATTTGCTATTAATAGTACTACTTCTAGGGCACCTGGGTGGCTCAGTCAGTTGAGCAATCAACTCTTGATTTCAGCTCAGGTCATGATCTGATGGTTGTGGCATTGAGCCCTATGTTAGGCTCTATGCTGAGCGTGGAACCTGCTTGGGATTCTCTTTTTCTTCTCTCTCTCTCTCTGCTTCTCTCCCCTGTCCATGCAGTCTCTCAGAAAAAAAAAAAAAAAACAAAAAACTGAACTAAAACTAAAAAATAAAATATGGTACTACTCCTATAAGAGTTTAAGCCCTACAGACACAGAGATAACTTCCTCTTTTTCTAGATGTCCATAAGAATTGAAATCTCTGCATGTGATTTTACATGTTTGATGACTGGATGAATTCCCACAGACCAGCTTCTGCCTTTGTAATCTCATTCCTGGGTGACCCTCCCTTTCTCATGTATTTACGAGTTCAGATTCTGCATAGTGCATTCATATCATGGTATGACATCTGGCTGTGTACCCTCATATCATGATGCTGGATGAGTTGTGGCAGTGGGTTCTGGGAGTATACCTAGAAGCAATCCTAGACCAAGATGAATCACAACAACATAACTATTATATGCAGACACGGCTGTGAACCATATAAATATATCCTATTAAATCCAACTCAAATGTAACTCCAAATCACCTTCACCTCAGCAGATTTCCAAAAAGGCTGTGGCAACCCTGCACAAAGGTTAGTGTGAAAAAGGGAAGTCAGAGTGGAAGGATGGTTTTAACTAAACTTCAGTTAAAATATTTCACTTTTGTAAATTTTGCAAAATCTATGTGACCATGGGTGTTGTAGCCTAAGTTGTATTAACTTCACAGTAGATGTGCCTCTGTTTGTATGCATTTTAAAGCCCACTTCAGGGGCGCCTGGGTGGCTTAGTCGGTTAGGCGTCCAACTTTCGCTTAGGTCATGATCTCGCGGTTCGTGGGTTCGAGCCCTGCGTTGGGCTCTGTGCTGACTGCCAGCTCAGAGCCTGGAGCCTGTTTCAGTCTGTGACTCCCTCTCTCTCTGACCCTCCCCTGCTCATGCTGTCTCTCTCTCTCTCTCCTAGAAATAAATAAAACATTAAAAAAAAAATGCTTAAAAAAATTAAAAAAAATAAAGCCCACTTCAGTGCTCAATAAATAGCTGTTAATTGAAAGAATGAGGAAATCAGTCTGTAAAGGACAATGCAGAGGGGTGAAAGAGGACATCAAAGGTGCTGCTACCCATATGTGCACTCCAAGCAGCATCTCAGCTTGATGTGGGCCCCAGGAAGCAGCCACGTAGCCAGCCACAAGAACCTTCTAGGGATGCATCAAGCTAAGGATCTAGTTTTTTGGACCATGACACTTTCAAAAGCACAGAGCAGTCTTGGTTGTTCGAAAAGGTGAAAGAGCAGCCTGAATATGCCAGAGAAAAAGATAATAGAGGTTAGTTTGAATGTGGAGCGGCAAGGATAATGATGATGATGATGATGATGATGATGATAATTTTCCTCACGAGGCCTCCAACTCTCCCCAGTAATGGCAATTCTGTGTGTGGCCTGGAAGGAGAGCAGGTCAGAAGTCACTTATTGGTAGGTGCACAGAGGTTTCTGACTTGACCCACAAATGATAACTGCTTGCCGGCCCTGGAGAAAATTCTTTGCTAAGTCTGAGGATCTTCCCATCTGTGCTTCTAGGAGGCCTTTCTGGTTAGTTCTTTTCCTGGGTAAGAAAACAGGTTTACAGAGGAGGGAGTGTGATCTGTGAGACTCAGTTTTGGACCTACGAGATTTGTAGCAGAGCTGGAGCAAGACCTCATACTCGCCATTCCTTACTCTTCTAGGGCCCCAGTGTTCCCCTGTAGGTTCACTGATTCAACGACCATGTATTAACTACATGCCAGATACTGTTCTAGAACTGGGGGTAAGTGACAAAACTTTGCCCTCATGGGGCTTCCATTCTGGGTTGGAGAGACAAACAGTATACATGCAAAAAATTAATAAGTATCAGCTCCAGATTGTGGTAGGTGTTCTGGAGAAACTGAAACAAGGAGATGGGATATAGGTTTGGAGAGGTGGAGGGAGGTAGTAACAGCCATTTCAGGAGTGTTTTCCCTTTTGAGGAGGTAACACCTTGGGCTGGAAAGATGAGAAGGAGGCAGGTGTGCAAGTATCCAGGCAAGCATGCTCCAAGGAGAAAGAGAACACCAAATATGAAAGCTCTGAGACGAAGGAGACCTGGAACATTAGAGGGAAAGACTACATACCAGTGTGTCTGCAGTGAAGTGAAGAGGTGGAGAAAGGCAGGAGATGAGATTAGATGGCCAGATCATGATGAGTTTTGTAGAGTAGGGTGAGATTCATGGATTTGGACAAATTAGCTGCTCCATTTTGACAAATTGGTTCTCCATTTTACAATACGATGCCATGTTCCTAGAAGGGTACAATGAAGGTAACCATAATGAATCTAGAGGCCACCAAACCAGTGCCAGTCGCAGGTTCAGGAAATGGAATCTCAGTGAAGGGAGGGTGTGCAGACCCCAGAGGAACAGTGGAGTGAAGTGAATAGGTCTCACATGACCCTTGCTGGGGCATATGTCAAAGCACTCAAGAAAGTGATCTGGCACCAGATATAAAGAAATAATCTTTACACAGGTGCCTGGGTGGGCTCAGTTGGTTGGGTGCCCAGCTCTTGATTTTGGTTCACATCATGGTCTCATATTTCGTGAGATGGATCCCCACATTGGGCTCTGCACTGACAGTGTAGAGCCTGCTTGGAATTCTCTCTCCTTCACTCTTTGCCCCTGCCCAACTTGTTCTCTCTCTCTCTCTCTCTCTCTCTCTCAAAGTAAATAAATATTTTTTAAAAAAGAAATAATTTTTACAGTTTACAAAGAACACCTTGGTATGTGAATGAACCGGCTGTAGTGGGAAAAGAGAGGTTACAGAGAGGTCAGCTAGAAGGTTACTGGGTTGTTCAGGCTAGAAATGGTGGTTCATGGTAACACCTGAGGGGCATCTTGGGGATTGAGCTGCAAAGACTTGCTGAACAATTGGAGAAGGATGTAGGAAAGTGGGAAGGAGCATGGTGTCATCTTTTGTGGAAATAAGAAAGATGAATGAGAAATGAAATTTGGGTGGGAAGACCAAAAGTTCTGTTTGGCTGTGTTGTTTGTGACACCGAATAATATATTAAATAGGACATTAGACAGAAGATCTTTAGCCCAAGGAGGAGGTCAGGGATGTATTTATATATCACTGATTTTATTAGTTCATATTGATCCTACAACAGTGTTTTGAGTAGCCAGGCAAATATACAATTCAAATCTTGCCATTGGCCCCTGTGACAAGTTAACTAGCCGTTCACTAGAAATTCTCGCTCCCCCCAAAAAGAGCTGTTACTAGAAGCAGCAGCCCACCAGGACTCATTTCTTAGCCCTCTTACATTTAGGTGGGGATCATGTGACTAGTGTTTCCAGGTCAAGGCATTTACAATGCGGTTTTATCTTAATCAGTTCCTCTGCTTCCCTATTTAGCTGGCTAGGTGCAGAAGATAATGTGTCTCTTGGGCAGTATTTCTCAACCTTGGCACTGTTGACATTTTGAGCCAGGAAATTCTTTGTTGCAGGATCTGTTCTGTGCTTTGTGTATTCCTGGCCTCTACTTAGAACCGGTTGTGAAACTACAAATTGGGAAGAGATCTGTGTGTTTCCGAATCACTACATGGAGTATAGCCTTCACCTGCTGGGTAGGAGAACCCATCTTGTACTGTCACATGAATGATAAATAAATTTTTACTGTGTTAAGACACTGATGTACAATTAGTACATCTTAAACATTCTTACCACAAAAAAATTTATTTTATAACTGTGTAGGGTAACATGTTAACTAAACTTACTGTGGCGATTATTTCTCAAAGTATACAAATATTGAATCATTATGTTGAACATCTGAAACTAATAAAATGTTACATGTCAGTTACACTTCAATTGGAAAAAATTAAAACCACTGTAAGTCACAGGAAGAAATATATTGTGACCTTGGATACACATGAGTTTCATAGAATAATACTTAACACTACTATGAGCAAATAACTGATATAGATAGGATGCTACCACCATTAAAGTTATGTCTATAAAAAGTGTAAGAGAATGGGAAAATGATGATTTCATTGAGTGCTGAAAAGCAAGAGCATGAGCTCTTTCCCATGGCAATTACCTGGAGCACTATGCATAAAAGCCCATTTTTGCGGAGAACTGCTGTTTTTGTAATAGAAGGAAACCTAATACCTCATTTCAAATCCAAAGAAAACCCAGGTTCTGGCCCCCATAATGCTTCTGACAGACTACATAACCTATAAAAATGGTGTGAAGAAAATATGTTGCTTCCACAAGGAATTATGGTGGGAAAAAGAATGACATTATTTGTAGCACTTTCCAAGGACCAGTTCTATGTAAATATAAGGTGTTATTCTATCTGTCTTTCATAATTAGAAAGAAAAAAATATTGTGAAACATTCTCTTTTAAAAAATAAGACTGAATCCTGAGTAATTGCTACCACAGACATTCAATAGAGCATGGAAGTCAAACTCAAATGGAACCTATTTTCCTGTCTCTTACTCTTTTCTGTGATTAAAAAATTCTAAGTGCTAAATTTATAGGTGACAGGGATCCCTGACAGCTGTGGTAGACGTAAAGGAACCAGTTTCTCTTGAGACATCTCCCTTTCTGGAGATTTCAATGGAAAATTTATAAAATGTAAGGTATAATAAAGTTAATGAGAAGGTAGAAGTGCAGTCTTGAAGACTCCAGTCTTTTCCTAGAGGACCTCACAGGTTTTCCTTGGCAATGTCGTCTTGTGCAGTGACACATAACTTTGCCAATTGGTTCCAGAAGTTGGTCAATTGTTTTGATATCTCTCTGAGGAGTTATCTTTTGTTGCTCACAGCATGGACACTTCCTAAGACTGTAATTTCTTGGACTTCAATTACCTGTGAAGTCTCTTTTGGAAAGATTAAAACAAGTACAAAGGGCACCATCATCTTGTTTTTCCTACCCAGGTACATTAGTGTTTGATGCCTCAGTGGACAGAAAGAGAAAGTATGGAAGGTGGAAGAAAGAGATTTTAAATACATTGAAGGCAAAGGATGGGGCTAGATATAGATAGAGAGGGGGTATAGAAAGATGTTTCTTATTCCAGAAAGATCTTAGAATGGAACATTATCATTGTCACCCATCCTAGAACTCTCTAGCCTTGAAATTCCTTGGCATTCCTTTTAATAATAATAATTATGATGCTTGTAATTAAAATGTAATATCTAGAGTAAACAGTGATCTCTAAGTACTGGACACTGTACCAAGCATTTTATGTGTATTATTTCATTTAATCTTCATAATAACCCAAGAGGTAAATTTTATTATTATTCATTCAAGCAGATGAATGATTTGCCCAAATACCAAAGCTAGCCATTGGCACTGCGAGGATTTGAATTTGAGTCAGTTAGTATCCACAGTTCATGCTCTTAGCCATTATGCTATCCTGCCTTCTTGATGCTCTTAAGTTGTCCACAGTGAAAGTAGCTATACATTCTAGAGCAGGTCTCAAGGGTAATCAGTGCTTATGTACCATGACAGTGGTGGTCATGGTTAATACCTTTTGGTCATTTTGTTAATACCTTTGTATTTAAGATATAATGCTTTATCCAAAATCTTAATGTACTAGATCCAATACACTGTGGAAAATACTTCTTTAAGCATCTTTCAAATTTGTCAGTTTAGAATTGTCCCTAAGTGACCATCTACAATCCCTCTTTCTCCTGGAAATAAATCTACTTTCTATGAACACATGCCATGTGGGCAAAGGACCCAGCTCCAGGCTCAGTGATCAGTCTGGACTTGGGCACATGATTCAGTGTGGTCAGAGTCCATCTCTGAGACCTTTCTAACTGGAGGTGGTGAGAAGACTCTAGCTACCCGAACCAATAAATCTCCTTTTGGGGGGGGGTGTTTTATTTTATATTGAGCTTCTGAAAGAGTCTGATTAATATAACCTTACCCCCAATTCTTCTCAATTTTTGCTTTAATGGAGATCCCAGTACATTTTAGCTATAGCATATTTTGGTTTTGTACCAATAAATACCAAAAGATTCATTTGACAGTAAATGAAAAATGAGATAAAGAGAGGGAAATGGGGACTGATAGGGAAACATCCTCATGTTTGAGACATAGTGCTGGAGTGTTAGAGAACATGGTTCCCAGGGAAGTTATAATATTTATTCTCAAAATATTTGTTTAAATATGGTAAGAAATTTTAACAAGGAGGAGGTGCTAGAGAAGATGCAGTCCTGCCTAAATGGATGACAGTCCTGAAGATTTTCTGGATCTGATCTCTACTGTTCTGTGCCAAGTTTGAGGACTCATTATACTTTAGGCTTTATAAAATATTTCTCCTCTGGGTGCTTCTGTTTGCGTAAATTTTCTATATTGGGTATGCATGTTTTTCTAGTGGAACCTTTCTCCATTGTACATCTTTTTTTTTACCCCCTAAGGACATATAAGAAAAAAATATCCGCTTGTTTTTCTATCTAAATGGAGATTTGTGCTAAATACAAAAATCTAACTACAAATAAATTATGTTCTGATCTTGAAGGATAAAACAAACACAAAGCAATGCAGAGCTGTGTTTTGTCAGAGCCAAATGGAACATGACGTTCAGAAGTTTCCAATTGGGTTCCAAAATTAGAATAAATCTTGGCAAAATGCATAGTCATGTCCCCTTTAGGAATCTTATCATTTGAACTCATTACTGGTTACTCCATGCCTTACTCATTCCAGTAGCTCCCAGGAGGCCTAAGGACCTGCCTCCATGAGTTCTGGAGCTGCCCTAAGCCTGCTGGTTTTAACTTTGTCTAAGTTAGGATGGAAATGGGGCATCAAAACCCCAATTAGTGTAAGATTTGAACAACCACTTCCAGCCCCATTTCTTCTGGGAAGTCCAGCTATAGAGAAATTGTGCACTGGTAGACCATCACTACCTGGTCTACAGATGTAGCTCTCTCAGAAGCACTGGGTGGTAGGTGTTGAATCTGAGCCTTTGGGCTGGGCCATGAACTTTGGGTTATTATTAAAGTGTCTTTGACTTATACATTCTATAAGAAATAGTTCATTTCTAGATTAGAGGCCTTCTTGGATAGGTCAGGTTCAAGGAGGAGAGTGTGGGAGTTCCTATCAGGAAGTTCTTATTTGGCTGCCAATTAGTGTCAAGCAAGGGTGAATACTTGCTGAGCTCCCTTCCCAGGGCCAGGATGTCAAACTCCATCATCAAAATGTACTGGAAGATCTTCCTTCTGTTGTTCATAGCGCCTCTCAGCTCAAGACTTCATCTTATCTCCCATTACTCATGAATCAGAGTGTAGACAGTTTTATCAACCAGT